TTCCCCCCCCGTGGGTCTCCTCCTCCTCATCCTCCTCCCCCCCATCCTCCTCCGCTTCCTCCTCCTCCTTCCCCCCCCGTGGGTGCTTTTCCAGCCTCTGGGAACCCTCGGCAGGCTCCCGGGACCATCAACAAACCGACGCAGGATGCAAGACCAGCCCTGGGGAAAGGGTCGGGACTGCCAGGGACCACGTCAGGGAAAAAAATCAAGACGGCGGATTCTCTGAGTCCTCATCGTCATCGCCCCTCCTCCTGTCTCCCCATCGTTCCTTCGCTATCCCTGCCTCTACTCCTCCTCCCTTCACCTGTGTTGCTCTTCCTTTCCTCATCACTCCTCCCCCTCCTTCCTCCCTCCGGGCTCCTCCTCCTCAAATCTCTTGGCCTCCTGCCCCCCCATGGATCCTGTAGGACCCCAAGACACCGATGACACCCTCTCAAAAAAAGAAGTCATGGTGCAGCACTCAAGTGAACCACTAGAAGCATGTTCCAAATGAAACTTGTCTGCATCGAAACTTCCAGCGGTGTGGAAGCTCTTCTGCGGCACCAAGCGGTCATCACGCAGATCCCCAAGGGAAAAGAGGACAAGACCCAGACCGACGAGCCAGACAAGCAGTCAGCATTGGGCAGACTCGCAAGGTGGAAGCCAAGGACGTTGTCAGAAAGGAGCAGGATCATCCGCTGTGGGCACAGGCAGGCATCAAGCTGACCCCGAGGGCGGCAACGGCACGACAGGATCCGGAACGCCGAGGTCCCCCACACGGACGCCATCTACACGCAGCACCCACGGACACCTGCACCGCATGGGACGCCAGGATGGCTTAGATCCACAAAGGTGTCTCCAAGCATATTCCCATCGAAGGACGAACAGCCGCCAACAAAAGAAGATGCTCCCATGCATGGCCTGGTCAATGGCGTCGCACAGGAGAGCATCCCAGAACTGCTGGGCGCCCCACCGTGCCCTGGTAGCCGCGCCCGAGCGAGAGCACAAGGCTCCCACCAGAGAAGCCGCTGCCCTGCCAGCGACTACGATCTGCACGTCGGGGGCAGCGGAGTGCCTCGGCACTCCCTGCCCACCCGAGGTCTTGGTCTAGGTCGGGCATGTCCCTCCGCAGGGGGAGCTTGGGCGACAAATGCAGAACGACTCCCACATAACACCCTCACAACATTCAAGACATGCCAAACACATCGTCCCCAAGATGTTTTTGTTGTGACAAGTTGTTGGGTCTCCCTCCTGTCGAGGGACGAGCCCGACTCGAGTCTTGGCGTCGGAACCCCGCGGGGCCGCGCCCCCTCTTGCCAGGAGCCCCCGGGGCCGCGCAGGCACCCCCCCCCTCGACCCACGCGTGCAAAACACATATCGCTCGTGTTCGCTCCTCTCGCCTCCTCGTGAGTGGAACGGGGAGGAGCAGCAGCATCGGGAGAGGGATGGCGCTCCACCCCTTCCCCCCCCCCCTCCTCCGCCTCCCTCGCCCCTCGTCGCCGCCGCTCTCCTCCTCCCTCTCCTCCACCCCTTCTCCTCCACCCTCCTCTCCTCCTTCTCCTCCTCCTTCTCCCCTCCTTCTCCTCCTCCCCTTCTCCACCCCTCCTTCTCCTCCCCCTTCTCCTCCACCCCTCTCCTTCTCCTCCACCCCGTTCTCCTCCTTCTCCTCCTCCTTCTCCTCCACTCCGACCTCGTCGCCGTCCTCCCCAGTTGTCGCACCTCCTGACGCCCAGACGCGTCGGCAGGCCGGGCCGACCATTCCGCATGAGGCTTCCCCACCACGTATGGTCCTGAAGCTTGAGATTTTGCAACAGTCACACGGGTGGAAAGCGCGTGGTGTTCAAACTGCGGGGCTCGGCTGAGCGTCCGCACAGCCGCTGTGAAAGCTTGCAGCACGCTCACCGGGTGAGGGCGGCTGGTTGTCAAAATGCGTCTCACGCCTCAGCGCCGCGCACACTCGTTTTTGAAGGGGCCCCAGGACACACAAATAAATACACACACAAATGAAAAGATTCCCCATATTTTCCTATATTTCTGGGTTTCTGTCTTCCCCCCCTCGTCCCATATGTTCCAATATTTTCTCGGGAATCGAGGATGAATTGTGTCTGCGTGTTTCTGTTCCTCCGGAGTTTTTTTGTTAACTGGTGCAGCAATGTCGAGGCTGACGAGCGGGCAATGCTCAAAACGTGGTTCCGCCAGGGCGCCGCGCACAGTCGTCATACAAAAGTACGCCACCTATTCAAAGAAGGGCGGAGGGCGGCTCTCCTGTTCGAAACGTCTGCCCCCGCCTGGGAGCCGCGCACATCGGAGAAGTCGGCGGCACGTTCAGGGATTCGTGCGATTGACGTCCCAGGAGTGCTGTGCTGGCAAGACGTCGGGTTGTCGTGCCGCAGCCCTCAAGTGAATTCGCGGAGTTGAAGTCCCAGGAATTGCTCTTTGGCATGATTGAAAAATCTGAGACGGATGTCTTCCAATGGGGTACTTCCAGCACCGAGTAGCAAACTATTGCAGGGACATCTGAAGAGGGAACTTGGAGGGAGGGTCAACTGCAGCATCGTCGATGTGTTTTGGATGTACACTGGTCCTACTGCTCCTCGTGTTCATCCCGCCATCCTAAATCCCACCAACCCCAAGGGCACATGACATCTCCGAAAACGGACCTCATCACTGATCCCTCCTTGTCTGGCTCCGCCTCCGCCTCATCCCCCTCCGCAACCACAACCCTCCCTCCCTTTAGCCTCCGTTCCTTCCTCCTCTTCCTCCACCCTCCTGCACTCTCCGCATGTCTCCTTCCTCCTCCTCCTCCTCCTCCTCCTCCTCCTCCTCCTCCTCCTCCCTCCTCCTCCTCCTCCTCCTCCTCCTCCTCCTCCGCCTCCCTCCTCCTCCTCCTCCTCCTCCTCCTCCTCCTCCTCCTCCTCCTCCTCCTCCTCCTCCTCCTCCTCCTCCTCCTCCTCCTCCTCCCCTCCCTCCTCCCCGTCCCCCCCGACCACCCTTAAACCCCCCCGAGCCCCACGAGCAAACGACATGCCCGAAATCCAGGAGGGGCAGATCATCGCAGACACCAGCCACCGCCGATTTCCAGGGCCCATGGGAGAGCACATGGGAAGCGGGAAGGGGGGGGGGGGGAAACGAAAATCCGTGAAGCATGGACGAGGACTGGAAGTCCTGGGGCGCGCGCCTATTCCTGCCTCCCTGGGCCCCCCGACGAGCGCGCACCTCCTCGCCGCCGCCGCCGCCGCCGCCGCCGCCCCCCCCCCCCCCATCCGAGGCCTCGGCGAGCGCAGCGCGCAGCTGGCCGCGGAGGCGCGCCCCCTCCTCCTCCAGCGACGCCTGCGCCAGCAGGGCGCTGTCGCGCTCCTGGCGCGCCGCGCCCACCTGCCGCCCGGGAGGGGCCGGGGGGGGCGCGCCGCTGCCGCCGAGAGATGGGAGTGGAGAGAACGACAAAGAGAGAGGGAGAGAGAGAGAGAGAGAGGAGGGAGAGAGAGGGAGGGAGGGAGGGAGAGAGGGAGAGATCCGCATCAGTTCGGACGACGGGTCGTCCAGGACCCTGGGCCGCGCGCGAGGCCTTCCGGGCAAGGCGGGCAGCTCCGCACATGGAACGGGGGTGGTGGGATGGATGGCTCCCCCCCCGTGGCGCGGACTGCAGGGGTCCCCCTCTGGGAAAAAGGGCGGGCGGCGGTGACCTTCCAAGGGCCCTTCTGCGCCCCCGTGCAGAGAGGGGCACCGGTTTGGGCACGCTCTCGCGGGCGCGCCTCTCGGCGCTCGGGGAACAGCGGGCGCCGACCCGGGGCACCCCCCGCAGCGGCCCAGAAGGAGCAGACGACGGAACACATGCCAGCAGTTCACGAGGCCCGATGAGGAGCGTCTTCGATAGGGGAGAAACAAACCTACCTCGCTTTTGACCACCCTCGCTTCCAAGATATACCAAACGATGCCAGATTGCAGCCTGTACTGGTCAGGCCGCTTGACGAGGAGGCGCGTGGTATGGCTTGGTTTCGCTTGGAAGCGAAAGCGGGGTAGGTAATTCACGCTCTGACCCCAGAGCCGATGCCGAGCCACGAACCCGACTTCAACGAGCAGCACCGACGTCAGCACCGGCCACGATACCAGCATCCACGATAGCAACCAAGACAACATTGACTCAAGCATCGGAGCCAGCATTGGCGACACCATTAACAGTGGCACCCATTCCAGTACCGAAGCCAGCACTGACGCCAGCATCGACGCCAGCATCGGCACCAGCACCGGAGACAGCAGTGACCTCAGTGCCGCAGCCAGCACCGACGTCAGAATCGACACCAGTACCGACCCCAGCATCGACGCCAGCACCGACGCCTGAAACAACCTCAGAATCAGCGCCAGCATCGAATACGGCGCTGACTCCAGCAAAGGAGCATGCAAACACGTCCTCACCAAATCCAGCATAGACTCCAGCCTCGAAGCCAGCACCCACGCCAGCATCGACCACAGCATCGACGTTAGCTTCGAAGACAGTACTGACTCCAGGATTGGAACCAGCAGCGACGCCAGTATCGACACCAGCATTCACTCCAGCATCGAAGCCATCAATGACGCCAGCATCGACGTCAGCGAGGACGTCAACATCGAAGGCAGCGTTCACCCCAGCCTTTAAGGCAGCATCGACGTCAGCACCGAGACCAGCACTGAATCCAGCAACGGCGCCGAGACTAACGCCAACATCGACACCGTTATCGACACCAGCACCGAAGACAGCATCGACTCCAGCACAGGAACCTGCATAGGTGTCCGCACCGACCCCAGCATCGACGCAGCATCGACGGCCGCATCGTATCGACTCCAGCACCGGAGACCGCATCCACGACAGCATCGACACCCCCACATACTCCACCATCGAAACAAGCTCTCGCGACACCATCGATTCTAGCATCGAGAAAGTATCGAGACAGGGCTGCCATCAGCATCGAAGCCAGCAATGACCACAGCACCAGCGCCAGCATCGGCCCTAGCATCAAAGACAGCGTCGACCCCGGCATCGACGCCAGCATCGACGCCAGCGTCGACGCGAGCATCGCTACCAGCATCCACGCCAGCGTTGACGCCAGTACCAACAACAGCATCGGTGCCAGCATCGAAGACAGCATCGAGTACAGCATCGGAGCCGGCATCGACGCCAGGATCGACACCCGCATCGACTCCAGCACCGACGCCGGCGCCGACGCCAGCTCCGACCCCAGGGAGGCCCCACGACGGGCCCGGGAGGTGGGCCGGGCGCCAGGCTCCACGCGAGCCACCCCCAACGCCCCACCTTGCCGCCCCTCCCGACGCCCCCCCCCGACGCCCCTCCCGACGCCTCACCCCGACGCCCCTCCCATATCTCCCCAAGGCCGCCGACGGCCATCTCCACGGGCGGCCAACGTCGGCCACACTCCGACGACCCCCACGGCGGCCGCCGAGGGCCACTCCGACGGCCACCAGCGGCCACGCCGACGGCCACGACGACAACGCCCACAGCCGACCACAGGCACCCGACGCCCCACCCGACGCCCACCACGACGCCGTGTCGGTGGCCGACGGCCAGCCCGACGCCCGTTCAACAAATCTGCCACTGGCGCCGACGAGGAACCCGACGCCGGACGCCCTCCCTGTACCCCACAGCCCCGCCTGGCTCCCGAGACTGGCACGACTGCGGGATCCCGACGCCCCACCTCGACGGATGAGTAACACCACCAAGGGATGCGACCTGAAGCACCGCGACGAGCTGCACGACAGCGATCACGAGCACCACCAGCAAGACCCCGACCAGCAGGACCACCACCACGACGAGCACCACGACTGCGACAACCAGCCGAACTACCACCACCACAACCAGCAGCACCGCCGCGCCCGCGACAAGCAGACTCGCAAATTCGCACCGGGACTGCGACCAGCAGCACCACTACTGACACGACTGCGACCAGCACCACCGCCCTCACGATGTGCCTTTCAAGAGGGAAGAAGGCCTTGCGGGAGGCCCAGAAGCGGGCCAAGCGTAAGGCCAAGCCAAGAGCATCAGACACCCCACCCGACGCTCCTCTCGACGCCCTCTTCGACGCCCCTTCTGAATCCCAGCCCGACGGTTACGCCTTTCCTGACGCCCTCCCCGACGTCCGCCTTCGCGGCCACCGACAGACACCACGACTACGACAGGTGCGCTTCGCCGACCATGCGCGAAACGTCAGACCTGTCGTTCCCCCCGACGCACTGTCTGACGCACCCCCGACTCCCTTTCCGACACCCTATCCCGCGATCCACATGACGCCCCACCGAGCGACCAGCAGCAGAACCACAAGTGATACGATTACGACCAGCAGCAACACTCTGACTGCCACCAGCAGAACTGCCACAAAGGCGGAGACCAGCAGAAGACTGCGACCAGCAGCGTCGCAACGTACACCGCGCCTCCGACCAGCAGCATCACGACCTCGACTTCGACTAGGAGCAGCATCACGATGCCAGGACTGCGACCAGCAAGAGCACCTCGACGCCACGACCGCCACCGCAACCAGCAGCGTCACGACAGCCACCTGTACCCTACCAATCCACCCTCGCCCTTGGCCCGCGCGGCTCACGGCTCCCCGAAGCGAGGACGAGGCCCCCGTACACACGGTTACCGGCATCAGGGCGGTACACGGGCTGCACAACATGCCCCGCAGCACTCCCCGCCCACCCCGACGCAACCTCGGCACTACCATGATGCTGCCAGCCCACCCGCTGGCATCGAGCTCCAGCCAGTTCCCCGGCCAAGATCTGCGCATCTTTCTACAACCCGAAGGCTTCACACATCCAGCTCCACGACCACCACCACCACCACAACCACCACTGCCACTACTACCCGGCCGTGAACCCGCACTCCAGCCAGGACCGCACCAACCGCGGCGGCTGCAGGGTGCTGCGACGGCCTGGCGAAGGCCGGAGGAGGGTGGCCGGGGTCCTGGGCTGGAGGTGGCAGAGGCCAGGGGGGACGGAGAGGAGAAGCGGCCCGGCGCGCGCCGAGGAGGCAAACCCAGGTGCGCGGAAGGGCTAACTCCCCCCCCCCCTCCCTTTGTTCCTCCTCCCCCCGCCGCCTCCTCCTCCCCTCCTCCCCCGCTTCCCCCGCTTCCCCCGGGCCCGGGGGGGGGGGGGGTCGCTGGCCTTCCCGTGCCTGGCGGGGCCCCGTCCCTCCCCCTCATCCCGCCTCCTTCCGTCGTGCGCCGGTCCGTGCGCTCGGGCCCCCCCCCATTCGTCCTCCTCTTCGGGCCCCTCGTGGCGCCTCCCCCCCGCCCCGCCTCGTCCCTCGCGGGCCCCGCCCGCCGGCGCGGAGACTGGCACATCGGCGGACCTGCCCCGCCTGGCGCGCCCGACGGCGCCGCCAAGGGGGGGGGGGGCAGTGGCACCGTGAGGGCCACACAGAGTGCCATTGTTAAAATCCTGCGGCTGGCTCGCGTCGCGATGTCGCCCTCGGACAGCCAGATCGCTCGCCGCTCGTCCGATCATGGGCCGCTGGCGGCGTTTCACCTTGAGCGCCCGCGCCGGCGCCGCCGCCGCCTCGACGCGGCGCAAGGCTACCGCGTAGATCGCAGGAGGAGGGGGAGGGGGAGGGGCAGGACGAGGAGGAGGAGGCTGAAGAGAAGGGTCGAGGAGGAAGAGCGGGCAGCGCTGCCTCCTGCTGCTGCTGCGGCTGCTGCTGCTGCTGCTGCTGCTGCTGCTGCTGCTGCTGCTGCTGCTGCTGCTGCTGCTCGGGCTCTGAGACGTCGGGATCTGAGACGCTCGGGATCTGCTGCGAGCCGCTCGCGCCGCCCGGGCGGGACGCACGGGCAGGACGACGAGGAGACGGACGCGCGCCTCCGAGCGCAGCTTGTCCACCTCCTGGCTCTGCCCCGCGCTGCTCGCGCTCAGCTGCCTCGCGCGGCGCGCAGCGGGGCCGGCCCGCCGACGCCACCACCGGCAGGGCCGTCCCGCAAGCCCTGCCACGTCGCAGCTGGCCTGTGTCCGCCTCGCTGCCCTCGCGCTCCTTCCACTCTTCGTCCCCCTTCCCACCTCCTCCCGCCCTGTGGCCACCCCCTCCCGCCTTCCCCCTTGCCCCTCTCGCCCTGCCCCTTTGCCTTCGCTCTCCGCTTCCATCTCCTCTCTCCCAAGTCCCTATCCCCTTCAGTCTACCTCCGCCGTCACCACTCTTCGTACACTGCACGCCACACCCCTCTCCCTCTCGTGCTCTTCCCCTGTCCTCTCCATCCCCCTCATTCTTCCCCTCCTCGGGCCGCATCACCATCCTCACCCCTTTTCCCTCATGTCCCCGTCCTTTCCCTCGAGAGGAAGACTGCGGCCGCGACGACGGAAATGATGACGGCGACAACATGACGATGACATCGCCCTGTCGCTCCCGATTCACTGATCACCCGCCCTGCAATCAAACATCGCACCTGCTCACGCCGCAGTGGGTGGTGGACAGGAAAACGAATCTGCCGAACCGCTGCCTCTTCCAGTCCGTCTGTGGAAAGTAGTCACGGCGACGACGACGGCGGTGGCCATGGCACCGCCAGGTCGGTTCTGACTCACCGATCGCCTGCCCTGCAACCGGACATCGCACCTACTGCAGGTCCGTGCCGTGTCGACCCTGGCGTTGGTTCCTGACACCGCGCTGGATCGTTCAGCCTTGAACGATCGGCCGTCTCCGCAACGTCCGACCGTTCCACATCGACCGATTCTGGGCCGCCGTCGGCGTTCAACGTGGAACGTCGGCGGCGGGGTCGCCGCTGGTCGACACGACGCAAACCTACCGTATTCCCGTCGCAGTGGGCGGTGGACGGAAACAACGAACCTGCCCAACCGCCGTCTGCCCCCCCGCCCCCTCCGTGCGCTGGGCCCTCCTCGCCGCGGAGCGTCTGCCCCCCCGCCCGTCTCCGTGCGCTGGGCCTCGGCGGCGCGCAAAAAAAGGGTAGGGGGAGGGGGGGGAAGGCTTCTTAGAAGCACCCCTGCTGCTTAGAAGGCCTCAGCCTCACGTCTACAGAGGAGGCCCGCCGCCTTCTCTCAGAGGCAGGGGTGCTTCCGAGAAGCGTTCCCCCCTCCCCCCCATACCCCCTCTTGCGCGCTGCCGAGGGCCTCCCTCACAGCGGAGCTCCGCAACGTCCGAGGGCATAAACGACGCGAAGATCGGGACAAAATCGGATCGGGAGAACTCGAAACCTCTGAGAATCGGCGGGTCTGGAGGATGTGTTTCGGGAGCGGCCAAGAGGGGGGTGTCCAAGAGGGGGGGGTGCAAATCATGACCGGCGGCATGTGCGCGGCCCCGCGGGGGGACCTGGGACGTAATGAAACAAGAAGAGGCGCCAGGAGATCTGGGGAGATATCATGGCCCGCGCCATGATATCCCCCCCCCCTAGTCATCACCCCCCTCTTTTCCGCCCCCGAAGGATGTGTTGGGCGCCGCGGCCGCTCTCAGAGCCTTCTGGAGCGCTTTTGAGAGCGCTCCGGAACGCTCTCGGAGCGACTTTTGTCCCGATCTCCTGGCCCTCGCAGCGGAGAGCTCCCTCGCGGGGCCTCCCTCTCGCAGCGGAGAGCCTCCCTCGCAGCGGAGCCTCCTCGGCGTCCGCGGGCCCCTCCTGGGGAGGAGGAGGAGGAGGAGGAGGAGGAGGAGGAGGAGGAGGAGGAGGAGGAGGAGGAGGAGGAGGGGGAGGAGGAGGAGGAGGAGGAGGAGGAGGAGGAGGAGGAGGAGGAGGAGGAGGAGGAGGAGGAGGGGGAGGAGGAGGAGGGGGAGGAGGAGGAGGGGGAGGAGGAGGAGGCGGAGGAGGAGGAGGAGGGGGAGGAGGAGGAGGAGGAGGAGGAGGCCAGGGCTTGGCTGGAAGGAGCCCGTGCAGCTGGGGGCCCTCCTCCCCCCCGCGCCCGCCCCCCCCCCCCCCCCGCCCCCCCGCCCCCCCCCTCGCGGTCCCCGCGGCCTCCGAGGGGCGCGGCCCGCCCGCCGTGGGCGCTCGGCACCCCGCCCGGAGCACCACTGCCTGGAGTGACGTCGGGCACGGCCCCCTACAGGGCGACCTTCGACGAAAAATAAGAAATATACCCAAACCATATGTTATATCTATATATGTATACACACATATTCATATATATATATATATATATATACAAATAGGAAATACCCCAAAAATAATCCAGCAACAAATCCAGAAATAGTCTGGGGGCTACTTCTTGAGTTGTTTTTGTACCTTTTTGGGGGTGCTTGTGGGGTATGCTGTATTTTTCGTCGAAGACCCCCCTGTAGGGGGACACGCCCGACAGAAGCCTGGAGGAACGACGAGCGGCACAGACGTAATTCTCTGCGGCCTGCGCAGATGTCTTGCATTGGCGCGGGACCCCCGAGAAGGCATTCCGCTCTTCAGCGGGCGAGCAACGGCATGACAGAAGTCGGAAACTGGAACATGTACATGACCAGTGGCGGGTTTTGTTTCAATCCCAGGACTTTTTGAGGGTCGGGGACAACGTCCGGGTGGTGTGGTGTATACTTCTCCTCCGTTGCCCAAGGGAAACAACGGAAAATGTATACACCAGGATCCCGTATACACCAGGATCCGCGTTCATCTTCGAATTTCAGCGCAGGGTCGGAAAAAGCATCGGTATATTGAGCTCGTTTCCCTAATAAGCTGTTCCGTCACCGGGGGCGCCTGTCCCAGGGGCGGCCGGAAAGATTGTACCCCGACGTGCCACCGTAGGGGTCAAAAGCTTTCCAGCCGCCCCTGGGGCAGGCGTCCCCCTTGGTGGGAAAGATTACTTTGCACCGTCTGTCGTCCCCGGAGCTTTTTCTGTTCGGTTACAGTCAACCCGTGCAGTAAGGATGCGCGATAAGGATGCAAGAGCCTTGGACGCCCGATTCGAAGGTCTTCGAGCGGGGCGCTGCCAACGAACGTGGCGAAGGATGGACCGAGGGGGCAAGGATGCAAGGGTACCCTTGGGAAGGCTGCCCATCCTTATTATGCGGGTTGACTGTATTGCACTTTTCACGTGGCCGACAGTGGGACTTGTCGCCTGCCTCTCCGCGCGGGTGCCGGGTGCCTGAGACCACCCACGACGACGAGCAGGAGCAGGTGTGGCAGTGTCGCCGGCAGAGACACAGTCGCACCTGGGCCAAAAGAACATCCCTCAAGAACACAAGACCCTCCGTCAGGCCAAAACAAATAGAACATCCGAGGGTACCCTCCCCAGGATGCACAAATACATCCAACGAACACGAAGAACATTTGAGCACCCTCCCCGAAGCGACCTCGACCTTATCCCTCGGTCCGGCTGCACGACCAGGTCGCCCGCCCCGCGTATCCCAAGCGCTGAGGTGTCGAGGCCGTGAGAGCTTTTCCCATGGCCTCGCCAAGCGCGCCGCATCATGCACCGCGGAGCTAGCAGTTCATTGTCTCAACGGAAGGGGGCAGCTGCTTTAGTGCAGCGCCGAGCCGAAACACACAGCTGCGTCGGTCAATGGTTGCACTAGCTCTGCCAGCTCCTCAAGTATTATCTTGTATTCTGTGCACCATCACATTGCTCCTCATCCACTCATCGAACTCGGCAATCAGGGGCGCCGCGAAGGGTATCTGTGTGGCCCCACTGTTGGGCGGGCACAATTCCACAATGAGGAAGCGCGAGAGGAGGCATTAAAAGTCGACGAAAGCCAGCACAGCACTCACGACTACAGGTGAGGAGGTGCATTTAAGCACCCTGCTCCTCTACCTGCTGCTTGCAACAACCCTTATCCGGAGCTAACGCGGGCACCCACACGACATAGCATGCGAACGTCACCGAGAATAACGCAGCGACCATGGACGCGAGCCAGAGCGACCGCCTGATGACGGGCTGGGAGTCAATCGTGCACTTCGCGAGCGCTGGCAACGGGGACAGGTTGCTGCGCGCGAAACCTATGCGATGATTCTCGATATCGAAAGTCGTATAAAACGCTCGCATGAAAGTCATGCCGAATATGATCGGGACCGGCTGGCCAGGGCTTCCTCGCTGCAGCGACGGCACACACGTCGACTTGCTTGGGTCCAGGAAGTCCACAGAGTCGATGGTGTACTCCTCGGGTTTCATGCACAGGGAGAACTGCTCGTTGTCCTCGCTAATCACGTTGATCACGAGCCTGGAAGGCAGGGTGTGTAGCGGAAGCAATCGAAAACGTGAGGACGAGGGAGAGGGGGGAGGGGGATGCGGGAGGGGATGATGGTGGAGGAATAACATGAGCAGCAGTGAGGGGAGGCTAACGAAACTGCGGAGGGGGCAGTACCTTAGCAGGGGGAGGAGGGGAGGAGAATGCAGAATGATGCCAACCAGATCTGCGATTGAGAGGACGGGCTTGGTCAGGACCATCAGTCTGACCATCAGTCTGGAGAGTGGAGCGTTGGGAGGAGTTGGAACGAGGAGGAGGAGGAGGGGGAGGAGGAGAAGGAAAAGGGAGGGGGATGGAAGAATGGTCGACCTCGACGCACGCGGCCCAAGATCCCAAGATGGGCACGTAAGAAGAGAACCAATAATAGACAATGATTGCTGCTGGCAACGCTGTGGATTTCCAGCCGGGCCGAATGCAGCCAAGCCTCCAAGAGGGCCCAAACAGGGCCAAGAGGGCCAGACACTCAAAAACAAAAGAAGCAGACAGAAACCCCAGTCCTCTCCCTAAGGAACAAACTCATCCCTGATCCTTCTCGTCAAGCCACCGCCGTCACGGCCGCCCCAAAGCTTCAGAACGTCGAGTGAGAAACAGAAGAGGGACCAAACACACTTGCCTATACAGTCGGACTTGGTTGGACAGGACACGCGAGAGGACACAAGACCCTTCCGAGGGCCACATCGCCATAGGAGTGCAAGAAGGCACGTGTCGCGAGGCACAGGACACAAGGGTACCCTTGAGCTGGGAGGGTCGCCCTACTAATCCGGGCCGACTGTATCTGCCGTTCCTCTGACAGGAGCCCGTGTCCTCAAGCATGGTGCCGGCGGGCGGGGGACCTGGAGCCCAGATCCCGGGATACCTTCACCTCCCCACGCCCTCCGAGACTCGAACGCGTGGGACGTGGATCAGTTTAGGGGGCCACATGCGAACCCTACCCCTACCACACGCGATTTCTGAGGGGGAGGGTGGGGTTCACTTCGTTCGGGAGCTCCCGAACGAAGTGAACCCCACCCTCCCCCTCAGAAATCGTGGAGGGTAGGGGTAGGGCTCGCATGTGGCCCCCTACAGTTCCAGATGTCGCTCCTGACGCGAACGAACAGTAGGATAGGGAACGAAGGGGAAGGGGAGGGGCGCACACCGACAGGACCCCCACCGTGACTGAATGCCACCGGCCCTTTCGAGCGTGAGTGGTTTAGAGCGCTTCCTCTTCCAACCCCCCGTCTTCCCCTTCGGGGCGGGGTGGATCATTGTGTCCTACTGCTAACCACAATTCCCACCCCCACCAGACTAGCAGCCATCCCGGACGCGTGGAGGCACCCATGACCCCCCCCCAACCTCCCCTGTCCCTGTCACAGAGCAATACAAAGTGCACTGTGCCTCCAAATCTAAAGAGTGCGCGGGCGCCCCACGACCACTTCGAAGTGGTTGTTGACGGGGACCATGGGGTGCCGGCGCATTGCTTTCTGCGCGCAGGCCAAGTCCCCCCCACGATCCCCTGCAAAAAATAATGCGCAGTGCACTTGGCACCACAGTCATTGATAGGGACGCGCGCCACGCGATCACGCTGCGCTGGTCATTGATAGGGACGGCGGGGGTGCCTGCACATTGCCTGACGCGTGCAGGCCCACCATCCCTCTTCAAAAGAGAAGCAGCTAGCTCGTTCTGCCAGGGAAGGGGGGAGTATGCTGCGTGCTGCGCGCAGGCCCACCACACAGAAGCAGAACGAGCGCGGGTGCACACACCCCGCACAGGAAAAAAAAAAAACCCTCGCTCCGCACTGGTTCTGAACAGGGGCGGTGGGAGGACCGACATGCTGCCCGATGTGGCGCACCTGGTGCGCGTGGCGCAGCTGGCATGTGCGGCGAGCCTCGCGGGAATCGCGCACCTGGCTGGCGTCTGCCACAGGTTTGTCGATGGCGGCCTCGTCCATGCTGAGACCCGGGTGCTCCGTATGTGTTCAAGGGCGGGTGGGAATGACAGAGACGACTTGTTGCTTGTGGGTAGCGTGACCCCTCTCCCTACCCCCCTACCCTGGACCGGGAAGGGGCGGGGTGCGGGTTGCAAGAAAGTGTCGGCGAGATGGCCCCAATCACTCATTGCCCTAAGGTGTTGGGCCAATTTTGGCTTCCTGCAAGTTTGGCTTCCTGGAGGGGGGACGCTGACTAGGGACCCCCTTCTTTGATCGACCTCCTCCAAGATGCCCCGAGATGGCCCCCAAGGCTCCTAAGAGAGCCCCAATATGGCCCCAAAAGGAGCCCAGGAGGCCCACGAAAGACCCCAAAGAGTCTCACAAGAGAGCTTCTCCCCCGAGGCACCCAAGACGCTTCAGGACGCCCCCGGGACCGCCAAGAGGCCCCAGGATGTCCCAAGCGGACTCCCCATGAAGCTCGCAAGAGCCATCCGAAGAGACTCCGAGAAGCATCCAAGAGGCCTCTGGCCTTTCGAATCGCCCTTCTCCTCTTCCCCATGCACTCATTTCTCCGATTCCCTCTTCCCCTTCCCCTCCTCCTCCTCCGACTCCTCCGATTCCTCATCCATCCTCCCCCTCTTGGAGTATGACGGCTTCCCCAGCCCTTTCTTCCACTGCATGCTCCTCCACATCCCTGATCAGGGCACCTCGTCTGGGTATTGTTTCAGGCCAACTCTCGTGGATATCCTTTCTGGATGGGCTGGTGGGTTTACGCGAAGCGTCTAGAATTGGCGTAACGTTCCCGCTGTGGGAACACCCTCTATACAATTACCATAGACTCAATATCCATCGCCTCCTTCTCCACCCCCCTCCACCTCCCCATCAGATCAGCCTCCTCCAACTGTTTCATGATCAACTCGCCTCCCTGCCACAAGTCCCCTCATCACCCTTCTCCTCGTGCTCGTCCCTGATC